CTACTTTCTTAAAAGCAGGGGTGTGATAACAGCTGCTTCCCAGTGGACTGGAATGTCCACACAAATTAAAAACTGAAACAGTATCTCCATCAACTCAGAGAAAACAGTAAAAAGAAAGTAGGCGATGACATTTCTCATCAGTTACATTCTTCTGAATTTAATCAGTGCCAGGGAAACTGAAACTATGGTTATACCTAAGATAAGGCAAACATTTAAAGAAAGAGTAAAGGAAAGATTAATTTTGCAGCTGTCTCAGGGTCTGGTGGAGGGCTGATGGATGTCATCCTGTCTTTGTTTTGCACCGGGGAAAGTAAGCTTGTAATCAGTGCTGTCAGGATGAAATTCAACAGCCTGGACAAGGGGTCAGATAGAGCTTGCAAACCTAAGGTTACCTATCTTTGTTTATGGGAGGCTGGACATCTTGGAAAGATTTAGGGGTAAGCAAATAATTTACATATGAACAATTTGTGAGGGCGATCATCTGGAGATGTGTGAGGGCTTTTTTTTTTTTTTTTTCTTTTTGTAGGCATCTGGGTAATGTACAATGTTTAACCACTTAAGACAATCAGGAAGCAACAGCCATGCATTTGGGAAATGAATTTCAGTACTGTGTGGCTGAGTCTCCAGACCTAACTTTCCCTTTGGTACAGACGCGGTGGCACTTGCCTGTAATCCCAACACTTTGGGAGGCCGAGGCAGGAGGATCACGCGAGCCCAGAAGTTTAAGACTAGCGTGAGCAACAAAGTGAGTTTCCCCCCACCCCCACCCTCCACCTCAACAAAATATTTAAACATTAGCTGGACATGGTGGCTGCGCCTGTAGTGGCTGGAGCGCAGTGGTGTGATCTCGGCTCACTGCAGCCTCCGCATTCAAGCAATGCTCCTGCCTCAGCCTCCTGAGTAGCTGGGATTACAGGCACCTGACACCACACCTGGCTAATTGTATTTTTAGTAGAGACCGGGTTTCACCATGTTGGCCAGGCTGGTCTCCAACTCCCGACCTCAGGTCATCTGCCACTCAGGAGGCTGAGTAGGAGGATCCCTTGAGCCCAAGGGGTAGGAGGGTCCCTTGAGCCCAAGGAGTAGGAGGGTCCCTTGAGCCCAAGAGGTCGAGGATGCAGTGAGCCATGTTTGCATGACTGCACACCAGCCTGGACAACAGAATGAGACCATGTCTCAAAAACAAACCAATACAAACAACAACAACAACTTTTCCTTTGGCAAATTGCCTTTGGAAGATCCTCATATTTTTATTTTCTTTGACAGGAAAGAGCAATATATAGAAAGTGCTTAGCTTAGCACTTTGCACATTACAGTTCCCCGTCTGAGTTTGCCCTTGTCATTTGGTAAGTTTCAGACTTGACTGCAGGCTTTCCTTAAACTGAACTCCCAGAAGCGAGGTTACTGGGTCCAAGGGGATGCCTATGTCTCAGGCTCTCCCTTCCCCTAAAGAATTCAGAATTTGGCTAGGAGTGGTGGCTTACACCTGTAATCCCAGCACTTTGGGAGGCCAAGGCGGGTGGATCATCTGAGGTT